ACTCTTGCTTTGGTGGGGGCCAGCGCCAGGTAGCAGTGTGTCTTCTCGAGTGCCGAAAACTAGTGCTCGAAAGAAATAAGTGATGATCAGAGCAAGCAGTCTGTCTCCACTGTCTTATCTACCGCCACTGAGACCAAACCTTCCCCCAAGGTGGTGCTCGCTTGGTGGAAGGTGGCCAACCCGTGCGTTAAAGTCCCCAGCAAGAATGACTATATCAGTCCTTTTGAAGGAACGCAGAAGTTCATGTAGTTGCTGGTAAAAGCTATCTTTAACTGCATCCGTTCTGCAGTCTGTAGGGGCATAGGCGGAGACGACAAACATGACACGTTTAACGTCTCGACGTCTGCTTACGTTACATGAACCTCATAGTCTAACTGCACATAGCCGACTTTTGACTGAGGTCCAGTCAAACAGAGTTGATTGAGCCCTGGCACTCAGTGCAATCCCAACACTAGCTTGACCAGCGGCAGCAGCTTCTGGGTCTCTGGAAAGCCGCAAGTAGTATTTGACGTCAGAGTTTACCGGAGAGGCCATTCTGATAACGGCGCTAGAGTCTTGTAGTCTTGTCTCTGAAAGGCAACAGACGTCTACCAAAAGCGCTTCAAGACTACGGGCCAGACATGCTTGTCGTCTGATCTGCATCAAAGTTCGAACATTAAACGCTGCGAGGATGAATGGAGAACCAGGTCGAAGAAGAGCTGGAGCTTCGGTGGAGTGAGAGGCGGTTGCGATCGCAGGACATTGAAAACCGGGAGTTTGGCTGTTGCTTCCATCAGTTGCGAGACGTAGGTCGTTTGTGATGGCGACCGTAGAAGACATAAGAGTAAATGTGGGTGAAGGACGGGAGGTGGGGTGATCTGTGAGTGGAGGTGGAGCGGTTGAGTTAGCACAGAAGATAGGCATAGAAGGAGCAGTAGTATACGGTGTGGTCCATGATTCGTCAGTGGGCGCGATACTACTCTGTTGCCCAGGCCGAAGTAGAGGGTTGTCTTAGGGGGCCCTACCCCGAGCCTTTGATCAAAGATCTAACCTACAAAGCAGCAGGGCGATGTGAGGGCGTCGCAACCCGTTGGGAGCCGGTGACCAAATAGATAGTTCATACGCCTTTCGGTCCCTGAAGGACCAGGGGACCAACGCACCCTTAAAGTACAATGTCTCTCAGGGAGGGGCAAGAGGCAGTGACTTTATTTAGTAGCAAGTCACATCCGCCACGTCGCAGTATTGTTAAACGGACATTTGTGGCTTTGTATAGGGAAAACGCTTGCCATGCAAAAACCCACCACGTCCTGGAACATTGCCGCCCAACCATTCGCTGGCACGGGAAAAACCAGAACCACCCAGCTGGCACCATGAGGAGGTTGTTCAGCAAGCCAGACCGGGACTTCACGGAACCGCAACTTGCCCCATCTATATTACCCCGGTGTCTGGCAGGCCACTCGCTCTTCCAGGAGAAGATTTTTGAGGTCAGAATTAGTTAGAGGCGGAGCACATGAAGGCTGTCCTCCAGGAGCTGCCGAAACGCAATTAATCAATGACTAACAAAGGATTTTGGTTACAATTAGACTAGGCTCGTCTCAAATGCTTGCTGAGTTAGGCCTTTGAAGTAGGTTACCTTGCAAAGTAAGACACCTAAATGGTGAATGACCATTCGGAACTCAATGCTGCTAAATTAAAATAAGGATGGCAGTTACACTGGAAACCCTTCACCAAATGAACAGTAGCCTTCTGCAATATAGTCTTACTACACCGCAGGGTTGGGATAAAGTCTGCCACCGTGGTAACTCTATATTTGCTAGACTGCGTTACTCTTATTGTTAGCTGCCGTATACGACTCCGAGAAATTCCAACAACCTTTTAAAATCATTGACCAAATCCATTTATGGGCAGCTGTCAGGAAGCAAGACCGGATGCGATCCTGTCATTCGACAGCTATTGGTACAGTGCTATGTAATAAGCGGGCTCTCTTTAGCCATCGCTAATATTGGTAACTTAGGCATTTTCAAATTTGTTCTCATTTTTGACGGTGGTAACGAGTGATTTAAACCGATAGTTCTCACCCAGTTGTCATCCAATTTCTAGTTTAGTTAACATATGAATATTGCGACTTAATCCAATATGCTTAATCTTAGGATCAAAATTCTAAGTAGAGATGAAGCAGGTCGTTCAAATCTCTGGTTGCTTTATAGATAGCTAGTACCTTAGCGACTACAGTTAGGATCAAATACCTCGCTTAATGCACATGAAATAATGGTTTTAGTGTCACAATATATACCTAGTTATTAATTACGACGTTTATCATTTGATCAGTTTATGTGTCTACAAACTTATGAGACCACAAAAGTTGGAAGACAAAAGCGGTTCGGCTGCAAAAGAATGTAGGACGACTGACTAGTTGGAATGGTCGGTTAACGATTTAAATTAGTGGGTTGGCTAATGTTATAATTGCTTTTAAGTTTAGCTGTTTATCGCGATCCTTTAAATGCTTGTTCATTCAGTATCTGGCGATAGTCAATAATGTTGGCAATTTTACTATAGCTCCTTCATTTGCTGACGATCCTGCCTCCTGCCGAAATTCGTAGCCAGATGTGGATTAGGAGTGCGTGTGCAAAGTGTGCGATTTTAAATAAAAAATATTTCTCGTAATAAATATTAAATGCTTTAGATGCCAAGTTAGCAGTCTTGTGTTCCCACTGAACCAAAAAAGCAAGCTTGGACTAGTTTTGCATGGAAGATCCATGAACGTTACTCAATGAGTTGAAACATCTATTGCTTGCTTACTGATAGTTCTCGTTTTAGTTGACCTTCTAAACGACGGCAAAGGATACAGATATAAACGCGTTGCCAAAGTTGTAAGGGCTTGATTGATATAAATGTAGAATTGTATTGTAATAATCTATGTGGGTGCTTTGGATCTAATAACCATGGAAATAAACATTTATTACCCACCACTAGGGTAAACTTTGTCAATTGGATGCGTGCCCCGATCTGGTTTGCAGCAGTAGGTATTCCGGACTGTAATTACACTAAAGGACTAAACGTCGCCTTTGTTGCTGCGAGCATCGATCTATTAACGGCCTCCTAAACGGCGCATGAGTTCCAGTGTGCAGCGCAATTAAACAATTTTGTCACCATCATGAAGCATATTATCTGTTTTCTAATCATAGGCACTTACTGTGGAAGACGTCTGTAGAACTGCCCATTGAAAAAAGCTTGCCTACAACCACTTTAGAGATGCACGTTGCTTAGTTTCGTTAAAATATCTGATATAGTTGAAAAAATTGAGGACAAGAGGTCCGCGCGATCGATCAGACCGCTCTTGACGCATCCGTCAAGTACGGTACCTGAAGAATTTGAACATTTAGCTTGGACTTGGCTATTCATTCATCGTATACGTTGGCTAGAGGTAGGGAATACCTTAGTTATTATGCCGCAAGATATTGAAAAGTATAAAACGACGCAAGATGGGTGCGCCAGCTGAGCCCCTAGTAAAGCTTGACGTCCTTCCAAAGAGCTAACAGCAGTAAAAAGCTACAGTACGTGTCCGAAATAAGACTGTGTTTGGAGATCGAGGCTATGCGAAAGGGGGAGGGATGAAGCAGCTCACATCAATGTCGACTCTCAGCCACCACAACAAGTGTATCCTGTCAAACGTGCTCAATATCTTTCGGGCTACAACCAGGGAGCCTTGAGGCTACAACAGAAACGAACTTAAGATTAAATGCCTTTATTCCTCTTGACCAAGTCGTTGCTTAGCCCCTCCTCCTCCTCTTTCATTCCCACCTCCGGCACACTAACGAAATCCATCACACGAGTCCATGTGCTGGTATGCGTAACATGTAGCCCGGCCACCGAAGCCTGTTCTGTTAAAAAAGGTTTCCGAGCTAGTTCACTTTCTTTTTCCTGTGTTATATACAAGGCGCCGAACACGCTCGCTCCTCACACCACGTATTCACCAGATGTCAGCTTTACTGCAAGGGCAACGGTGGTCGAACATAACTAGCCTCCATATGTCTGTCGTGTTAATGGGTCGGAATTCACAACCGTACAGCAGTCTCAAAAGCACAGTCGCATTGTGCATTTTAACCTTCAGAAAGAGAGTGATGTCGCGACAGCGCCATAGGTTATGAAGTTAACAAACACGATGCGCTTTTGCTAAACATTTCGTGCCTTCTTCTTTGATTTCACAGGAGCTGCTACAAATGTTTACGTATTTAAAGTGCTTAGGTAGTTAAATGTATGGTTATTACAAAGTTATAAAGTATGCAGTCTTTACTAACACAATCAGAGTCTCGAAGCGGAACTCAATATCTTACATGGGCATTTGAGAGCCATGACACATCAAACATATACAAAATATATAATGATGCAATGCGATTACTGCATATGCACTTGTCATATGATAACATTTAGAAAACTGGAACATCTTAACTTTGATTTAAGCGTGGCTCATGTGCAACAAAATAATATGCTTACTGGATAAGCACAGACAACTGCTGAGTAACAAAAGCGTTACGTGTGTTTCTGAAAAAATCTATCGTAAATAAACGCAGCTAAAGAGCCACCAGGGTATTATCCTAGATGCGCAATAGCCATCTGGTTGAGTGTAGCCGCAAACCATGTTATCAAACATTAAGACAGTAAGTTGCCGTTTAGCTCACTGGGTTAAGCCAACAGTAAAAACAGAAAAAACAATAAATGTTATAAAGGTTGCATATATTCAGACAAATGCTTTCGCTTAAGTTATAAATAAATACAGCGGTGTGGTGCGGAGTCTAACAAGTGATTGATCCTCAAGTCTTTAAACTCTTATCTAAAGTGCAGTTTATCTTCAGAGACATGGATGATAAGATCCCAGTGTTTAAACTTATTCAAGAACACAATACGACAAACAAAATGTTAGTCGGTGTATAGTTTTCTTAGGATAAAGCAATCTGTTAGTTTAAAATCTGCTGTCTGTTAAACATCTTATAATCATTTATGGGCACTTGTGCTTGACCTACTTTTTCGCTGTTGACAACCAAGTATCTTCCTCCGTTGTAAGTTGCTGATCTTTGCAGCTCCGGTTGCAACCGATTTCTTGGATGCTTAATAAAATCGAGTAAATTATATGGCTAGATATTTATCAACAATCTAAGTGTAGCTAAATGTGGATAAATAACCAAACACGTTGACAGCAGGTACTTACATAGTGCTGGTTACTATCAAGTCGCAGTAGTAATAACGATGGCTTCTAGCCAGTATATCCACGCAAGTCATACAGTAAGAAGGCATAAGGCCGGCCTATACGGTTATAAACTAAACGGTTAAATAAAGACGGTAAAAATGTAGAAGAGTATTGTAAGCAGGTATGTATCATTGATTTATTATTATTGGAAAATCATACAGACCTTTAACTCAATGTATTACCAAAAGCCATTAACAAACCGTTTGTTGGAAACATATTCCAAGTATGTGACCATTAAAGTGACAACCACAAAACAACAGCAACAAAGCTCCTGGTAGTTAGAAGCCTACTACTTGCGTTGGTTGAAAGCACAATCCCCAAGCAACCGATGGTATGCTAAATAACTTCGAAAACAAACTTTTATTCTTGTTTGGGAGATAAAAGAGTAAATTTGGCATTGCGAAATATTTCGTCAACATCCAATTTGTTGAACTGATGGTTAGCAGCAAGGGATACTATAATATAGTGTTTCATGCTCTTAGTTACTTTATTGCTGCGCATTCTCCGGTTTCTTTTTGTGCCCAATGTTACCTGAGGTTTCCAACATTGCTCAAAAGATAGAGTTTTCAACTACCCTGTGGCTCGAAGTAAAACTTTAGCTAATATCTAACGTTGGATTAAAGCAATAATCCTGTTTTTCTCTATAGTAGTGAATGTGTTTTCCTGATGACTCTCAGCACAACGGCTGGTTGCATATAGGTCCATCGCGAACGCTAACTATTATCTTGAGTATCGCAGTAGATAGATAGAACATAATACACATACTGCCAGAATTTTCGCCGTGTTTGGCACAAATACTTCTCTAAAGCAAATATACAAGTATTCGTAGCTGTTTGGAATAAGCTCGTGATAGCAAATCAATGCAAAGTTTAACACTTAGACCCCATAAGATAACCAAGTTGCTGTCCTAAATGATAGATGGCTAACTGTAAACCAGTTACAAAGATACCCAATACATGTATGTTTTCAGTCATCATCTTCATTACCTAGATGTGAAAAACGTACTTCAGCTATATTTCACTTTAATACCAATGGAAAGCTAAAGAAAATTAAGTCTTCAATACCACAATAAGCTATGTCGAATTCCTTTAAACCATTGAAGTGAGTAAGCGGAAATAAAGCTAAACATTGATGTCTCATGAGCAAACACAACAAAATGACAAGACCGGAGTACCTTCGCTGAAATGAAATGTGTCAGCTTATACGCCGTAACGGCGCTTCGCTGCCGCGCGACCACCACCAGTAACAGTAGGCTTAGAAATTACATCGTATTTATACTGTAACGCTCGATAGTGTGTAAAAAATATTTTGATGTTGTTTCCTAAACGCTATGAACCGGAATCAGCATCATATGCAGTTGGCAAATATTTACGTAACGTACTAATGCGATGCATCGTAAAAATCAGGCATTATTCAAAAAAAATAGAAGTAAGACACAACCTAGTGACATAAGGCTTAAAAACTGTACTACATTACTCACAGATGGAGCAGAGTCATTTGCCTTTGATGCTCGGGGATAGTTTGCCCGCTGTGAAGTTGACAGACAGCTATTTCCTATAGTCGTAAACTCCTTTATCCTCGAAGCTACTGGAGGAATATGGGTCTCATCTATCGAAGCTTCGTGCATTTGTATAGTTTCAACGGAGTTTTCATGATGTGATATTTCTTTAGTTGTTTGCCGAACGAACCTGGAGGACTCTATCAATTTTGTCTTATATAGAGAGAAACCACTATCGCGATGCACTAAGCTAGTAGGCAAGCCATTTGTAATACTAGCATTCTGGGTAGGTTGTTTACAAGAATGCTTGGGGCCAAGTTCTGATATATATGTGCATGCGCAATGAAAAGTTGGGCTCTTGGACAGTATGGGTGTAGGCTTGTGCTTCCTTGTAGACAATGGGACCGGACGTTTAGCTTCACACTCCAGTTTTCCAAAACTCAAGACGTGATTATTGCTTTCCCCTTTGGTCAGAAGCTGTGCATTTTTATCTATTACGTGCACTGGATGTATTAGTCGCGAATTAACCAGAATTCCTTTGGAGGTGGTATGGTCTTCTTTAGAAGGCTTTGCAGCAGACCTTAGTTTTTCGTGCTTTTCAATTGCTCCAGCCTTATTTGTCTCGCTTTTTGAGACGTAATCCCCAAGATTTAATGATTGCTCCTTGTTCAAGATTTTACACGGCAGCTTGTTTCTAAGATAACTATCAGAAACAGCAGACGATTCTCCGTAGTCATGCGTTATCAGATATGCAAGGTTGTACTTATATTCTTCGTCGATATTAAGGTCGCAAAACTTTGCTTCGAAAATTTTCCAAAATATCGACTTATCCCTTCGCCATTTGTCTTGAAAATCTTGTCCAGCTAGGGCCTGTTGAAGTTTCTCAATTAAATTCATGATAATATTTGAAATATAAGTTATTCTCATAAGGTGCACTAAAGTGGTGCATTTGAGCACGTCAACACATAATGCAGGCCGAAAAATTAAGCACTGCGGGCTCTTTGTCAAGGACCTTGAGCCGTATATTAAAATGCAATTGGAGTAAGCAGAGATTTCGTCTAACTCCCTGCGTTAGTTATACTTGCAATTAACTTCTAGTCCATTATTAGGCGAAGAATTAATAAGCTTTTAGTTTCTTCTTACTGTTGTTAAAACTAATATACTTGGTAATTTAATTCCCTTCAAAACTTGAGTACATTGAATAGTATGAAGCAGATGGCGAGGCCACTGTTCACATCATCACCTTTTAACCAGGGTGGAGATGCTGCGCATTATGTGTAAACGATGCATAACAGTTGTCCTACGGATTCTCATGGTAAAATGCATAACCCAAGCAGGTCCAGTAAATGTGAATCCAACATATTTTGAGACCTTCCTCAGCAGTAGCACTGAACACGTCTCCCGCTAAGTAGTACTAGTCGTTTATCGAGTGGGTGGATTGCTCTATGTTTCAGAAAACCTTGTGTCTTCATGGTTTATAACATATCTAAGGAAGCCCAAGTTTCGAGCGATGTTTGTTTAACATGAGATACAGTTAGTAGTCACCGCATTTCGTCCCCCTGCTAAAGCGATTTTTGTAAATCTAATCTCTAAGATAACCATAGCAGCTTATGGAGATGAAAATCCTACGTTGATTTTGGGGGAACCAGCCAATTCCCGAAAAGTTAGGAGTAAGTTCGGACCACGCGTTTTTACTCTCTCAATCAGGTAGCATACAAAATTAGCCGTTTATAAGCTTGATGCCAGCTATTACTCGAAACTAGTGGGAACATGTAGAAACGGACAGAATTCTGTAAATACAAGAATTCATCCTAGGGAATGGCTTTTAATAACCCAGAACTTCCTATGTACTTCAGTGACCTTTAGTGCAGCATCGCACGCTAGTACAACGGCAAACAGTGCCGCCAATTTCCTTCACCCAGGAGAATTTTGCGAGTAGCGTACATTAATACTATAGGTGCTGTGAAGTTCATAAGCGCTACTTATGAGAACAAAGGACATACCGTGCTTGTAAGCGACAGATACTCCTGAGGCTCAAGGGAATCGTAACGGCTCCCAAGTCCAGTCAAGAAAGGGAGCCGAAAGGTTACCCACGGCACTATTAAAGAAAATAACTCTCAAATATATATTTACATACCTCAACAGTGTTCGTTCAGTCCTGCAACAACCGGGTTTTCGTATAGGTATACGATTAGATAGCTTCAGCTCACGTGCTACCGTATAGCAATGCATCATAGCACAGTTTAAAAGAGGATTACGATGGTTCTTTTTATGATATCTAAAACCTTATCACATTGGTCTGCGGCACGCCGCACAGGAAGCTACATGTTATCAAATGCAATGGGATTAACGCGTCTCTGTGCGGATACGGTATAAATGACCAGCAAGTATCTGGGTGCTCTTGGGGCTAGTAGCTCTGGTTGGGAGTACAAAATCGGTACAGCGGGTTTGGTATGAAACCACGTAGACATGGCTAGGAAAATGATAAGTAGCACAATAGCCGATAGGAACAAACGTCAGGTAGGGTTATGGTGCACAAGTCAGGGTACCATGCCGTGAGTTGCAAGGAAAACATGGAGCTTTGCATAGTTAATAACATGAAGTAGACAAAATATCGGTTATTCGTTAGCTCGGCTGAAGGTACGAATGGTGTGGTTATCTGACTAGGATGGTGAAATGCAGGCTGCGGTATTCGTGGTAATTCTTCCGTTTACCGCGCTTTCTCGGTTACCCTTGTGAGCTAGCCAGTCGTGCCGCTGGTCAGCAGCAACGACCTTAACCTCTAGCTACAACCTTAGCTCGTCAATACAGGTTAGGCAATTATCTTAAAACACAGTCGAGAGGTCATTTATAAAGACATTTTTTAGTTACCACTGGTCAACCATGGGACAAAACGGGTTTAATTAAACGTCACTCACATTGCATTGCTTCTCAGGTTGTCCGTGGACTAAAAGAAAACAGCAACATAATGTGTTATTCCTTTAGTTATTAAACAAGAACCGTTCAGGAAGGACTTGTTCGTGTGCTTTGCTTCAATCAATTAAATAACGTCTAGAGACTTTAGGCATATAGCGGTTTTGACCACTTTTCTTTATCAGCAAGTATGTTTGAAACGTAGGAGTGTGCCCCGTTAACCAAAGCTGAGCTTGCGACATAATATTTGGCCTTCTGAATGTTATTTCGGAGATAGTTGGATGCTTTCTATAAAATGATGTTAAACGTTTAGGCCGAAAATTATCAGGAGTTTGGGGAAACCCACCTTTGTATTTAGGATTCACTATGCTTACCTGCTAATCAAGAGGCAGGTGGGCAGTTGTGGGCTGGAGCCTAAATACCTGCTAGAGAAGCATAGGGTCGTAGTAAAATACGTGACTTGGAGAGACTTCAACACACAGTCTCCGAACAAGCCTAGTGACCAACCCTGTGTTTCTATGACAAGGGAACTTATGATGATCAGATGGGACCCACGTGTTCGCTTGAAGACGGAGACTCAAAACTCGACTAAAGAGTAATGCCATACAGGTAGCTTGTTCTTAACACCCCTGTCGTGAACCACCATGTCGTTATAAGCAGAGAACAGGGCGCAAAGAAAACGCTGACGTTGTTGCCTAGTTTCACATGCATGAAGGGCTTTTTATTAGTTGGTACTAACCAGGTAATCAAGGTTCCGTTTGCCGTCGATCCACACGTTGTTCCGCAGTGCAGTTCTTCAAAACTGTGTTGTGCTCAAAATGGGACATAGCTGTCAGACTACCCTTGAACCCCGACTGATTTGCTTTTTATTCAGCGGGTAATACATCACAAATTAGGATAAGCAAACCAAGTGCTTAGTGTTTTCTACTGGAAACTAGGATGATATACTCAATGTGCGTTGTCCTTTTAGCTCGGCGTAATCCCATGCATCATCAAGCTCTTGCTGCTGATTCTTGTTCTTGTCAAGCGCGCTTGCAGCCTAACTTATAACTAAGAACTTGACACATCAGAATTTCCCATGCTACACTCCCAGGATGTAGACTGCAAGACGTCGCTTAAGTATAATAGATATTTGCAACGATGGTTTATCCCGAACGGTTAGTCACAGTTGAGTAGGCTACATCAATTATTGCAGGCATGCATACTATATAAAGAATGTGAGGCGAACGGTTCGGAAGTATTCGTGACGGTATATAAAATTAAGGAATGAAAGAAGGCTCACAATGGCATCGGATGAAAGACCAAACTGTGGTAGATTCCGTTCAGCACTTGGTGCATTGACGTCGCAGGAAATCACCGAGTCCTTACTTCTTCCGCACTTCCTCCGCTCGGTAGAATAAGTCGAGGGTTAGCAACATCAATTCAAAGCGAACACTACACTAAACACCTACCTAGTTACTGCCTTCCATGACGGTTACCGCGATACCTACCTTGTGGTCCGCTATTTAGTAATGTATTCAGTATTCAGTATTCAGAATGACGTCCAGCTCATACCTGTCATCCGTACCGTTAGCCCCGAGGGGCTAACTGCTTCGGAAAACCAACTCCAGGTCTGTAACATCAGATGACAACCACGCCTAGTTAAACTTGTTAAGTGATGAACTGATATGTAAAGCTGAATCTTAGTACGCCTTTTTCATTAATCTGCACAAATAAACACATTTAATGACAGTTGGTTCTTTGAGTTCAATCTCCTGGTTTAACCAAGGGTATGCCCCGGCTTCTGCTCTGAGCATTTGTGCTTTACGAAAATACAAAAGTTTAAAGCTGGATGCTTGATTTGCTGTAGGAGTACACGTTTGTCGAGGGTTTCCTTCATTTTAACCGTGCATTCCTGCGGGGGTCTTGTAGAAATTAAGACGTGTTCATTGGGATAAACCCTTCAGCTATGTATTCGAATTCATTCATTCAAAATCTGCAAAAAGATCGGCATGGTGGAAACTTATAGATTCTTTTGCTTTCTCTGCTCATTAGCATCTAATATGAGGAGGTTGCGTAGCTAAATGAAGTCTGCATTCCAAAGTTGTCTAAGGGGAGAATTTTACTAAATTCAGTAAGGTTCTTCCTGCTCAGATGTACATCGCTATTAATTGAGCTGATTCCACAGTGAGCTTCCGCTATGAATTATATGGATTTACCTTCAACTACCTTATGTGCCGAAATATGCAGCATTGCATGCCTAAAAGTTATGTCAGGTCTAGGCTTTTACTCGTTCATCCATGCTGGTTGCACCTTCAATGATCCAAGCTGTATGCTAAGCAGCAACATGAATTATGAGCGGGCTCATTAAGGATGCACATAACTTTTCTTCTCGTACCCGGCATCATGCATTGATTCAAAGTTGCTAGGAGAGGCAGTAGTGGTTAACTCGCGGTAGGTACCCAACCAGAAGCAAAGACGACAAAAGAGTTCAACCAGGGAGTTTTGTTCAAGGGTTATGTCCTGCAGTGCTTCGGTGGGTGGACGTAGCTGCATTAGCTCATTCAATTAACGTCTGCAGCTAAACGTACTTTGGCAGGTGCTATATGCAAAACTAATTACGGGAAGGTTTGCGCTTCCAAAGCAACCCTGATGACAGGAATTGCTATGGGTGCAAGCCATGTGCAAGCACTCATCCCATTATTATTAAGATATCGCATTTTTATCACAGTTGAACGTTTAGGCGTCATGGTCTTAAACCTGCCCAACTAACTTAACATATCGTTGTTACCTAGTTTTAGGAAAACACTTATACCGAGCTCTTCCTTTGCAAGGTCAGAGATAACTGAGCACGTTATGGCTTTGAACAGCATAAACTATAGTTAAAGAAATACATTATTTATTTGCAGATGCATCAGAGCGCACCAAGTCAGGCATGCTCAATCTTTAATGGCAATTAGGTTATGTTGCAGATACGTTACAATGCACATAAATGGCTGTGGCCAAAACTTGCCTAAGTGGTAGAAACCAAAATATTATCCATGAGTAGCAAAATCGTCAGCGCCCCCTGCATTAAAGGTGGTGCAAACATAACAAAAGCACACACCTTTGCCT